AGAAGAATCGAGCGAGGTTTGCTCTTGCTCCTTCGCGGCTTGCGGCGTCATCTGCCGACCTGGAGCAGACCACGGAGGGGGCTGATCTCGGCGCTCAGGATGAGCAGTGGGAGTATGTTGGTGCGTGTCTGTACGAGGAGGCTGAGTTGATTGGAGCCGCGGCGGTCTCAGCAAAGAGGAAGTTCTTGCAGACGACGATCGTGGACGAGCAGCACAAGGGAACATCGCTTTGCACGAAGGCACTACTGGCTCCGCAGTTGGCAGTGGGACAGGCGTCTGGCCGCGTCGGAGGAGGAGCACACGCCGTCTCTGCTGCTGCGCATCCTTGTACATTGGTTCGCTCGGTGTTGAATCGGCTGCTTCTGCTCCAAAGACAGAATCTACCGTAGAAGAAGCAGGTGAGGGTTGTCGTTGCTCCTTCGGCTCTTGCGGCGCCCCCTGCCAACTTGGAGCGGAGCAAGAAGGGCGCTGATCCCGGCGCTCAGGCTGAGCAGTGGGAGTATCTTGGCGGGAGTCTGTAGGGGGAGGATGAGTTGATTGGGGCGTTGGTGGTCTCAGCGAAGACGAAGGCGTTGCTGACGACGATCGTCGACGAGCACCAGAAGGGGGCATCGAATGATGCGAAGGCGTTACCCCCTCCCCAGGTATCATAGCTAGAGGCTGCAGGCGTTGGCGGAGGAGAAGCCTGGGCCCAGCGATGTTCTCCGAGTCGTGCCCGGGTGCAGGATGCCGTTGTTCTTGGAGCTGTTCTTGGTCCTGCCATTGCTGCTGTTCCCGTTTCTGGCTCTGTTCGAGCTTGCGCTGGCCGGGCTGTAGGCCGTTCAAAGCATGCACGACGGTGTTGGTAAACACAGTTCGAAGTTGGTTGTAACGTTGAGCAGGTTTGGCCATCTCCTCTGCTAATGTCATGGGGTTCTTAGGGAATTTTCGTCTAGACAGAGGTTCTGCGATCCCAAAGAAACCACGCGCTGCTTGCACGGTCTCCACCCAGACACTCGCAGTCGGATCCTGCGTTAGCCTTCGCTTGCTAGCGTGTCGCGCACACGAAACAAGTTTGAGCGCTGCATGGACTACTTCCGCCGGGATCGAAGTGAAACTTTGCACCCACGGCTGCAGCTGCTGTAGGGCATAGCTACACTGTTTAATTCTATACGCGGAGATTGTTGCCTCCACAGCCAGCCCGCCAGAGTCCGCATTCGCTGGCGCCGTCCTAAATCGTTCCAGGAGTTCTAGCATTTCTTCCCCTCGTGCCGTTCTATAGATATCATCGTCGGCTTCTAGTTGTGACAAAGCCTGTTGTCCCACCGCCAAAACAAAATCAATCGTCATCTGCCGCTCCANCTAGTTGTGACAAAGCCTGTTGTCCCACCGCCAAAACAAAATCAATCGTCATCTGCCGCTCCACCTCAGTGCGGGCAGTTGAGTAGACCCCATACAAAGCCAACTCCTGTGTGCAAATTGTCAACAACAAGACAACGAGAGCCGCTCTCCTCTCCAAAGGTACATGGGGCGCTGTTTGTACGCCAAGAGTTATAAGGGATCTCAACTCTTCTAATGCCTCCAGAGCCGTTGCTTCTCCTGCTACCTCAGTAGGTCTTGCCTCTGCACCCCCCGAACTCTCATCACTCTCATCGATCTCCTCTTCAATGCACACGCGTATCGACTGCTCTTCCAAATCTGAATCGGAGAGAGCCCGTTTACCCCGAGATCCAAATAATATAGGGAACAGAGCCTTCCGCGCACATTGAAACACGACAAACGCCACTGCTAAACATGCAATCGCCACTAAACCAGCGCTAACAGCCATGTTCTGACTTCTTCGCCTCTGCCTTTGTAACCTTCTGATCGCCGAGGGCTCGAAAACTTCCAAAGGCTGTCTCGCAACCAAATTCAATGGGGTGGAGCGGTGGAGACGCACATCTCCATCCTGAGGCATGACGGCCGACTGTGCCGCAGCCCCGCTTGAAGCCACATTGGTCAACTCTGCAGCTCCAGTTACTACTGCTGCTGTTGCTGCTGCTGCAGCGAATAGCGTTACAGAGCGTAACAAACTGGGCAACCCAGGTGCCACATTGTTGAATCCCCAGCGGTGGTTTGCCCCCATTGGTAGCCACCGGGAAATGCAAGCTTTCCACGCCTCTGCTACGTCTTAGGATGGAAGTGGTGGTGTGGTCACTTTGCGCGGCTGCACGCAAGGTTCCACGCCTCCAATCCACACACCTGAGCGCTCCTCACTGCCGAGCATGCGCACACTGCAGCAGGCGCAACCTCACGTGCGGTGGTTGGGAACGTACGCGCCAAAGATATTTCGACCTCCTACAAATTCATCTCAGTGATGCGTGGACTGTATGCAAGCCGTTGCAACGGCCGGTACACTCGAGTCGCCCGGACGCCTCGCTGACCAGCAGTGACCACTCCGGGCAGCAAAAGGCCCTGTTGCCCTGCTTGAGGCTTGTGGAATTTAACACAAATTGAGCTGTTAGTAAGCGGCGTGATTCGCAGAGGAGGAGGAGGAGTGAGGGAGGTGGAAACCAACAGAAGAAAAAAACGGGAATTCAATACCGGAAAATGTAGTGGCCCTGCCACCTGGCCACGTGGCAGCTGGCAGGTGAACCGTCACCCAGGCAGCAACGAAAAAATGAAAGTTGGCCTTAATAAAAGATGTAAATAAACATAGCTTACGAACTACTTCTTACTATGAATGGAGAAAACCATACCGGGA